CCTAAAAGGGTACAAATTAGATCTGTGTATCTCGTAGCTATCTTAATATATATAGTAGACTTGTGAGCTCACACAGAGCGTCAAACTGCCCATACTATTGTACAAGCTTAATGTGTCAAATAATCCGAAGTATGAATTCATTCATTTCTCTGGTTTGATGTCCTGTGTGGTATCTATATACAGATCCATAAGGACGGTAAGCCGCTTTGGTAAGGGAAAAAGCTTTCAACAAGCAAAACCTGATATCCTTCCCCTCTGAACCGACCTGGCTTAGTGCTGAGGATATTCCTTTTGTCATGTAAAGACATGATTAGTTCATGAATTATTATTTTTCAAACAATCATGACTATATCACAATGTCATGTATTGTTACGGGCTCTGCCCCGTTCAATTTGACTGGGCTGCTGGCAAAGACGAATTCTTCACCTTCCAGTGGTGCCGGTGTAATCGCTCAGTATGCTCTGCATATCTGGGATAGCCAAGAAGAATTGCATCCGAATTGAAGTCGAAAGCAAATACATGCATATCTCCATTTGACGACTTCTCAACCATGCAGCACTCACCACTATCATCTGAGTCCTCAACCTCTTTCCAACCACATATCATCTCGCCTCGACAACCAATAAAGGCGTCACCCCAATTGCAAACAGGAGCTTGCCTCATTCATCACCAGCCATCACTCACTACAAATTTACGATGCTACGTATGCCCGCAAGGAGGAAATTAAGTCATAATATACAAAGTTGGGGTCTCGGTTTATGGGGGACTGATGCTCTAATGGGGTTATAAATCTTGAGGAAGGACAGGCGGCTGAGATATGGAGCGAGAAAGGAAAGAGGTCTCTGAAGACCGTGTTGGGACTGACATTTTCGAGGAGTTTTCAACTTTGGATTTTTTGTCGATGCCAAGACCGAGATTTCGGCTAATTAGCCAGGAGGTCTTCTTCTGTCAATGAGTCAATAGCACTCCCCAGCGCCCTGGACGGTACAAAAGAAGTTGGGCTAAGCTACTATACAGCAATCACGCTCTGTCAAGACTTTTCTGACATTTCGGCACGACCTTTGGGAAGGAGTTGGAAGGAGGCTAGAAAGGCAGAGTTTGAATTTCCCGAGATACACACAAATCTGCAGCGCCCAGCTGACCGGCCTCTTCGAACACTTCAGAAGGATCACTATGTCTTCGGACTTAGTCCTAATGTCGGTATTAGAAGAGCCCCACACTCAGTGGTTTGCGATTTTTCCCGGCTGCCATACACCTGCAAATGGCCATCGTTTTGTTGGCTGGAGAGGGGAGATGATGTAGGGCAAACGGCTCCTCTAAGTATATGATCGAATGAGGACTTGTGAGGGGTGTTACTGTTTGCGGGGAGCTATATAGGAGGCATAGGAGGGGATATACTACTGGTATAGGTATCCTTGGCCTGTAGGCAGAGAGGACCTGCATGTCCTACATTGTCTTCGACTCAGACAGGAATATAAAATGAAATAATTAGGCTGGGCTATCTTTCAGGCCCAGCCTCGTTCAAGGAATTTAATCACGTGATATAACATTGGGGTTGTTTCTTATGACTCGAATCACTCAGTTGATTATGCTGAGGCTGGGAAACAGATCACTCAGTAGCAAAGGATTACGTGTCAGGAATCATGATCACTGGTAGCTGCAGATGGCATACATAGTGTAACAGATTTCCTGTAGTTGTTCTCTATAGAAAATTATTAATTCTTTGTGGTGTTGAAATTGGCGCTACTTGGCAATCAAGAGTCACATTAACATGGAATGTAATAAGGTTCGAATATTACTAGGATGTTCATGACAGCTCATACATTGACCAACCTCCCAATTATCTAGCATAAGCTAGTGAATTGCGTCCTTCGCTTAGCTATAGTAATTAGTTTAAATAGCGCTCTGATACTAAGTGGGTTTAATCAACAACACTTCAATCTCCCAACTCACTTCACCAGGTGATATTAAATACAAGCTTAACAGCTTACGCTTCTCTACAAAACTTCTATCCCAACATGTGGTACTGTTTACGTGCTATATCTGTAATCCTCGTCGCCTTTAACATGTATAGACACGACTCATTGTTTGTACTTGTTGTATCAACCATGATTATGTCTCAGTAAAAGGAGAAACATCATTGACAAGTTAATAGAAACCTAGTCAAGATTCTAAACACGCAACTGAGACTATCGACTGTTATAAAGAAGGGAGATATAGTTGAATATGCGCACCTCATGCGGTCCCGGTGTCTAAGCCTCGCCTGGCTGGAGCTGCAGGTTTTTTGAGACTTTTTCCCGCGCACGCAGTCTCCATTGCTACCATTCTGTTTTCTTTTTGGGTAGAAGATCCGTGGAAAAGGTAGCTGAATTCCACGGGTAAATACTGAGCTGCATGGCTATTCATTAAGAGGAATACATCAATGATCTTACGAGTAACAAAAGAGGATAAGAGCACTTTACAACGTACGGCCTGGGTCAGAGAGGAGCCCAATGTGCTAGATAGTCATAGACTCAAGTAGCACAATAAACACACACACTTACACTTACAACTGAGACAAGGAGAATTTTACTGAGTAAGTAATTATTCTGATGAATCTAGATCTGGAGGAACATAATCTGGTTGCTTGGCTCGAGGTATATGAGCCTGAGCATATCATGTATTATAAACTTTATAGAAATCTATCTCAACCACAATCATCGTCTTAATTCATGTCACCATCAATAGCTACAAAAGACAGTTTAACCATTTCCTTATACCTTTCAACCACAAATTTATAAACTTTCTTCAAAATTCATTAACTCCCCCTTCGATTAGACTAAAGTTATGTAAAACTAAATAAAGGCACCTCCTCGCTCGGCGTTGGTCTTTGAAGTGTTCGAAGAGTTGGACCCGATGGTGGTGCTGTTGTGGCGGGGATTGTTGGCGCCACTGGGGCTTCGACTACCTTACGTGATCATCCCGGCACTCTTCTGAATACTTCAGCCTTTTTACTGGTGACCAAAGTGAATCCCTGATCATCAGTTGGTCCGACTGTTCGTGTTGGCGCCACTGTAGGGTTTTCATTCCATATTTATGCCGTTCTCGATAGCAGCTCCATCAGAGCCTTCTCCACACTTCTCTTGTAGACCTGGTAGGTCCGACACGCTACTTTTTGCCATGAACGGTGTTCTTTGCCATGATTTGCACAAGAAGCTCTTCTCTTCGGACAGTCCTGAGCTAGGTGAACTCCTGCGCACTAACCGCACATGGCTGCCTTTCCACACGACGCCTGCGTGTGTCCCCACTGACTGCAGTTGTAACATTGCTTTGGCTGGGACCGTGGTGACCGCACCTGCGCAGTGAAGAGCGTGGCGTTAATTACAAGGCCCTGTCGAGCTAGCTCCGTTTGCATTGCCTCCGATGGGAGGCTGACCACAATTGAACCACGATTGCGACCGTTTTTCTTCGATCGCTGATGCTCCTTTCCATCATGTAGCCATCGTATTCTGCTAATTACCAGGCCTGGAATACGTGCCTTCGTCGCCGTCTCAATCTCTCTGATGATGGCATAGTTGTTGGCATCTCTGCCACCCTCAATTCTTGTCCGCAGTGGGACTCCAGAAACCTCGACTGGAAAGTCTAGCCGCAAGATTTTAAATTCCGATGGTTATCGCGTATTTAGCGCCGCGTCTCTCTAGGACGCCGAATGGACGAATACCTCGGTATCGTTGCTTCGCATCTGCGGAATTACAAATGCGTCTTGGGCTTGTTGTTGTGCCTTGGATAGTAGCTCTTGTGGCTGCAAGTTTTGGGCGCCATCGATTCTTATCCGCACCGCTGTTTTAATCATTTGCGGAACCATGACCGACGCGTGACTCCTTGGTGACGGTGCGCCCGAAACCACTGCTGGAGCAGCTTCCGAGCGGGATCCGCGAGGCTTTTCTTTACGACTTCCTCTAGCGCCATCATTCTCTTCTCGATTGGAGACCTCTTCCATGACATTTCCACCCAGGCCCTTTTGTGCGCGTTGAAAGCCTTTATGGCCTTATTCACATCCTCCATTGATGGTTAGTCCTCCTCATCCATCTCGCCCATCACGATAAGTCTATCCTGTTTTAATAGCTTCCCTAGGATTTCAAGGTTCCTTGTACTTTGGAGCTGTCTGCGCTCCGCTGCCGCTGTTTGTGGTCGCCATTGTCGCTTTCTGCGACGCGTCGAAACCGCTGTATATACCAACACCAGCTCCTACACTCGCCATGTTGGAGCACGGAAAACGAAATAGCATGAGGAGGGCGAAGAAAATATAAAAATGTAATCCACGATGTCAAATAGATGATAAAGGTAGCGTGGAGCGCTGCGCAGCTTTCTAGCAAAAATGATGTTTTCCCAGTGTCGCGGGAATAGTATCGTTCGTTTGAATTCTGTTTCTGATCACTCAAGGTATTCAGAGAGTGTGCCTGAATCCCTCAGCTCAATTTCATTATCTAAACTTTATTATCACAAATCAAGATGTATACTGGTTGGTGGGCGGTCATACAGAAGTTCGTATGTCCTAATTTTTTGTAAATTTTAACAGTAGAAAGTTGTCACTGCTTGGAATCTTAAAAGGTGTAAACAGTTCTGCGTAGGTCAGAGATTGATTTGGTCGACAGTGAGTTAATGTCATTTTTGTTTGGTTCGCTCAAAAATTATGCGAAACGCGGCATTCGTAGCATGATGTACCAATGTAATTCCGTTCAAATAACAATTTATTGAGGAACGTCTCAAGCCCATCTTTGGTAAAAAGCTTAATGCTAATCATACATAAATCCTAGAATCCAAATTTATATGGGGTATCGCGTGCAGGCATTCAGCTTTGAGCTCTCCTTGATCAGATCAGGCAAGGATGAGAGACCCCTCATTCTTAGAACGCCACGTCAAAGTCGGGTAACACTAAACATCGGTCTTCACATCTCAGTTTCTTATCAACAACGTTCCGTCATCACTGGATCTCCTTGTCACGCCCCAAACCAAGTAAAATGCCAAATCATCCAGCTGTAACTGGAGCTGTTGTAGTGGCGAGTATTGCCGTTGCGGTCAACTTCTCTTTCATACTAATAGAATACTTCTGATAAACGATTTAGGCTGCAATTGCGATCTACGAGTCCCCTCAGGTTAGAAGATTTGCTGACGATGTACGCCGAAAGATTGCAATTAAACTTCATGCCCTTGGTGATGATATCAGTCCTACACCAGCTGCTGATCAACCCCGGTTTAATCGCCCCGAAGACGCTGAAGGATTTCTCCAAAGCCAGCCAGGAACTACGAGTGATGAGGGCTCACAACGCCGCCAACGAGATGAACTAATGTTTTGGAATGCAATGCATGTTTTAAACGAGCCACAGCAAGCCCAGATCTGCGGCCATGATAAATTCATTCAGCAAGGTCTAAACACAACAAGAGAAAATACTATTTACAATAGTGGTGCGGAAGTAGCGCCTATAATGACACAGGGGCTGCACAATCGAAGCTTACGAGATTCTTTTCGTGATGGCTCCGTTTATGCTAACCCCTTCAGTGATGATCATAATATAGAAGCCGACAGTTTCACTGCAATAGAAGTAACCCTAAATTCGCCTGAAAAAGCAGAAAGAAACGGAGCTAATTCGAATTTCGTCACTCCTTCTGAGGGCATCTCTGATCTAGTCTCTGATCCAGGTACTTCCTGTCCCTGGATGGAGTCGCGGGAGCCCAGCCCTAGGCTCCGCGATACTTTCGGTAATCCTCTGGAAGAGACTATATCTTATGATAGCATCCATGCATGGGCAGAAATTTCGAATTCAAATTTGAATAAAGGCCCGGCTACTCATCTAGCTGCTACTTCGCCCATATTGAAAAATACAACCAGACCTAGCTCTCCTACATTTAGTGACCCCGAAATATCGATTCCAGATATCGAAAATGTTATAGATCTATCAGATAGTATGCTAAAGCAACCCTCAACCGAGTTAACTGAGGATAAAAATTTCAATGGGTACTCCAGCGATGAATGTAACAGCTCAAAGACATGGACTAAAGTTGGAAGTTAAATGAGCGAAAAGATTCAACCCATACACTGAACACTTAATGTTTTATATTTTGATTCGGCTCTATTATATTTGGATTTATACATTGGCGCTAGGACTGGTCACTAACAGAATAATTTTACTCGAGATAATAATGCAAAGATATAAGAAAACAGAGTTGACATGATTTTGTGATCTTCTTTAGCCATTAATTTTTCCATTACTTCTATTTCGCGCCTTGAAAATCCAGATTTCAAACACCCTATGTTCAATTGCACACTTATGCTCCATATTAAGGTCAAGAAATTACTGTTTCTCTACTATGGATTTCACGTGACGATCCTGGCGCATGAAATGAATAAATGGATGCATTAGCCGATAATTGGCTGTGGTGTAGTGTTATCAAATGGAATTGATAAACACAAGTAAAATTGTAAGATATCTAGGGACGATGCGACCAAGAAAATAGTGTATATAAATTACAAGGTTAAAAATCCGAGATTCTCATCCTCTCCACGTTTTACAATTATAATAATCCATAAAGGTGATCATAAGTTTATTCATGAGCCAAAAACCTAGAAGCTTTTTCGAATAAAGTTGTAAAACTTTCCAAAAGAATAATCTAGGAGATTAGACATAAATGTTTCCAATAAATGCTCATCGTATTTTTAGAATAATGTACTAATAAAAAATGCGTAAAAAGGAGACGGGGACTGAGAATCTGTCTTTAGTATCCCCCCACAAATCTTCTGTTCCCATCTGTTATGGGCTAGGCCCGGCTGGGTTCTGGCTGGGCTGTTTAAGGCTATAGGGCCCATCCTTATCTTGAAGGCTCAAGCGAGTTTGTAAATCTTCTCACTATACGGGAGTATTATCAGATCACGTGTAAATGGCAAGGGTATCTGGAACATGCATTATAGTTATGAAGAGCCAAGCTTCCCGCTCGTAATTTTACTCATAGAAAATATAAACATTTAATTGTGGCATTGCTTTCGTGCATTGGCCGAAAGTCCTAGCCCGTCACACCATCGCACATTTGGCAGGGGAGAATTCAAGTTTAACAATAGCCAGGAACATTTCTATTGTTTAGTCATTCGCCTTCCCTACTCTCCGCAGTAGCACGAAGAAGTTGAGCTAGGCTAATTTACTGTAAAGTTCTATTAAGGTTCTATTAATATTTTAACATGACCTCCAACTTGTCTCGAGACACGAGTAGATAAAGGAGCTTTATGGAAGTTAGGAAGTGTTGTGGTTATGAGCTGTGAGGTATATAGCAATTATGTCTCTGCTGTCCGTCGGTGGAATTACACGGGCTCATGTGCAATGGTGAGTCGCGGAGATGGCGCCCTCACGCTGGGTGATGGCACGATGGACACTGAGTGCGTATCACTGTGGCCAAATGGGTGTCAGTAGGTATCAAATGTGAGCTCTTACTGACAATGGTGATCTATGAAGGTGATGCTAGATGTGCATCCCGACGATTGATAATATCATCTAATGGATGATGTGAAGTATGATATTATTTTGGATAGATTGATTCACTAAACTCGGCAGGTGAAGAGATTGTAGAGTACATGAACAGCGTCTGTGCACCAGCCTGTATTTTCCACCCTTTCCTAATCCAGCAGCCCATCCTCTGTTGCCCTGTCTCCTAACAACTCAACCGAGCCAGCACAACAGGAAGGTAGACAGTGACTACCTTAGGCATACACAAGGCTGTTACGCCACAATGGCAAGCCCCTTGGAATGCTAATTATCTCTGCAGACCAAAGCCTCATATTGGTCATGAGAGTGCATCACATTCAGACGAATTAAAAATTATTCCGGCCATGGCACGCTATTCTGTTTGAACTAAGAGTTGCGTGCATCGTGCCAAACCTTTATCCAGATGGCGAAGGCTGGACTAAGCCACGGGATAATATTTGAGCACCAGACTTGTAATGTGCGCCACGTACAGCAATGCAGTCTTCTAACTCCTCTCCTTTAACCATGGGGATACCTGGGGGCATGAGGGGAGCTGTATGGGAGGCATAGGAGGGGATATACTACTGGTATAGGTATCCTTGGCCTGTAGGCAGAGAGGACCTGCATGTCCTACATAGTCATAGACTCAGACAGGACAATAAAATGAATTAAAAAAAAGATACCTGGGGGCTTGAAGTTGATTTGGGTTATTTTGCTATTTGTATTGGGCCTATCCCCAACACTCTAGGAGCGTGATACGGGTATGTGGTCCTTCTGGGCTCACTTTAACCTACATGATCAAGCCTTTTTGTGCTGGAGGAAAAAAACCCTACTAAATTTCACACCTACGACCATCTGCATCGGAGGGCAAGACTGATCACCTGTACGCGGTGTCCTCTACGAACCTGGGAGTGAAATATTCACCCAGAGCCAAGTTCAGTCAAATTTCGCAATATCAAAGTAGTTGGCCCACGAGGCAAAAATTCAAATTACTCCACCATGTCAATCTTTCACTCCCAAAGAGTCCGATTCTCAACTAAGCTTCATCAAGTCTACAAGTACGACCTAGTACATACTCATCCCAATGACCATAACTCTCGTCGACTTTCTCTGGCCTCAGCCGGTCACCAAATACACGCCCACGCCGATATTTATACCCGACGGAGGACACAAAGCGTGGCGCACAAATGTTGGAGACAGTTCTTTGGGATTGGGGTGAGAGGATTTAGGACAAGTTAATAAGATGATGCGACAGATGGATACAATCTTGACGGGCATGGAATTTTGAATTTTGGCAAGGAGTTTTTACAAATTGAGCTTTGTGCGTGCCAAGACTTCGGTTGCGAAAGTGCAGGCGACACTATAAACATCGCCATGGTTGGATTGTGCGGTGGTACAACGTCTTGGTTGGTCTGCCAAGTAGAGTCTGGATAGCTTTGACACATCCCACTCGACAAGAGATCGCTGGTTCAAATCCAGCAAAACACAACCACATTTCTCGCGGCGATGGTATGCATGGATGACGAAGGCATGCTTGGATAACCAAAGGTTTCGAAATTCCCTTTGGTGGGTACTAACGGAGGAGGGTCGACTGTTTGTGTAAGCGAACATACCTCATAGTGGTATTTGCAAATGAAACCAGAGTATGAGTGTCTCAAGTGTCAGAAGAGTCATGCTAAATGTATAAATAGGACCGGTCATGTGTCATAGCTCTATAGCTGAATACACATTAAATGATTTAAAAAAAAAATCGGTGTAACCTACAGTGGGGCTTTCTGCTCACAGAATCTCTAACGCTGTAAAGTGCCATGACCTCTTCTCTCGACCGCAAGGGCATGGTAGACAAGGTTTTTGTTCATATGACAAAAACGCCGATCATAGTCAGAGAATTCCCCTTGCGGAGGCTTGTAATTGTTAGTGCAACAATACGTGCTAGATGCCAGCTGATATCGGTAGTCTAGATAACTTTCAGTTTAGGACGAAGGAAATTAATTTGAAATTTTGCGAAATTGCTAATCATGCACAAAAAAAAAGGAGGGGTTAATCACCCCCGATTGAACCAAAACTTTTTTCACACTGCAGAACCAAACACAACCCTAATCAGCTTCGAAATATTAACAGCTATCCTTTCTAGCTACTGATACCCAATTATTTTTTGCGATTAGTTGCATGTAACTTAAAAGCAACACCCTGTATTTGACTGTCTCAACCGTCATAGGATCTCCCGGCAGATGTAAACTTGCAGATTTTTAGAGGCAATGAATTTGCTTTGTCGAACTTGTTGAGATTATAGTTACTATGACCAGAACTTCCATTTCCACATTTGAGCTGATTGTCTTGTATTTTCCTCCTCTTTCAATTTCCTCCTCTCTTGCCTCTTTGCTTCCAAAGCAGCTTCTTTCTCAGCTTTCTTTATATCCATGACCTCAACAATTTTTTTGATCTGTGTTTTCTCTATCGTTCGTCTAGCCTGGCAGAACTCGTGATATGCGATAGCTGTAATGGCAAATGTACCCACAGCCCAGTTTGCAGCTTTTGGGATCGGTGCTTCATCTTCGTTAGCAGCTGTGAGTTGCCATAAGTACGCGATAAAGCATCCTCTGACTAACCTCCAAATATTGCCCTAATTCCTCCTATTCCAAAAGCTCCGCCAATTCCCAACAGTAAACTATCTTTAACGCATGGGTACATGTGAACCTGCTTGAAATCTTGAAGGCGCACTGTGCTTAGCGCTTCAGATAATCCTGGAACTTCATGCCGGCCGATAGCACCAGCAGTATTTTGTCCACTACCCTCAGGTAAAGAGTTGGAACTCGGAGGAGGAGTATTGAAGTTCTCATAGGTTTTATACGATGAGACTGGTTTCTTTTCGGAACTTATTGATTTTGAGGATGAGCTGCCTTCAATTCTCCTATCTATGATATCGCCGGCCATTGTAGCTTAGGTTGGTTAGCCATACGTTCTCGTCACCATGAATGTTACAAACATAGATTACATCATTTCTGACTAGCGCATAAATCCATCAGGCTACTATTACCCCTAGAGGCTTGTAATCCAGAATCAAGGGGCAGCACGTGCAGCGTGTCACTCACGCGTATCAGTGATCGCGGTTCAAAAGTTCCTACGTGAATAATGGATCTTGTGTCTATGTCAAGATCTAAAAACCTTTTAAACTTAAAATTGAGATGTCAGAACCTTATCTGCAATATATGATGGCCGAAAAAATGACCTGGCTGTCCTAAGGCTATCCCTGAGTGTCCGACACTTCTAGGCTCGGCATTCACCAGTCAGAATATCCTATTCAACAATGTCTAAGACCCGGATGCCAGCTAATAGCTATCGCCGGGGAGGGAAGCAGGCCTACAGTGGCGTAAAAGTAAATTCTTCCCGTGGAAATTACGAACCACTATCTTCCAACGAAAAGCGCGAATCTGTGAGACTTGCCGATAGCATTGATGAAGCTCATGGCTTCACACGTTATGAATCAGGGAAAAAAAAAGTTGGATGGCTAGTAAACATTAAATCAACAACAATAGAAGACGAAAATTTACCAGATGGACGCGCTGCCGTTGATTGTTACTTCATTGAAGAAGATGGCGGGACGTTTAAAACGAGTCTAAAATATGACCCCTACTTCCTCGTGGCTGTTAAACGTGGTTACGAGAATGAAGCTGAGGAATGGTTGAAGCGATCGCCCGGGGATGGTGTGCTAAAAAGTTTACGAAAGGTTGAAAAGGAAGATTTGCAGATGCCCAACCATTTATTAGGCTATAGACGTACCTTTTTCGAATTGAGATTTAATAACGTCACAGACTTGCTTGCTGCCAGAAAAGATATCATGCCCATTGCGGCGAGAAACAAAACTTCTATGGATGCTATGGAGATTTATGCAGAGGTTGCAAGGTATTTTCTCTTTATCCAGGCATGATAAAATAAGAATTAACTATCATAGTACGAACTATGGCTTCGACCAATTTGATATAGATCCTAGCGATGAGCGACAAACGAAAGTTTCAGTGGCCGATGCGAGCGACTTTATCATTGATATCAGGGAGTGGGATGTCCCGTATCATGTTCGGGTAATGATTGATATGGGTAAATTCCTTAGCCGATAAGAGAAAGTTTGCTAATCTACCTAGATGTAAGGACAGGAAAGTGGTATACTGTTGAGGCTAAACATGGTGTGATTAGTATAAAGTGTCTGGAGGACCGACTGCAGAGAGCAGATCCCGTAGTTATGGCCTATGACATTGAGACGACTAAACTCCCATTAAAATTCCCGGATGCGAAAATTGATCAAGTCATGATGATATCATATATGATTGATGGTCAAGGATTTCTAATAACAAACCGAGAAATTGTGGCGGAGAATATTGATGATTTTGAATATACACCAAAGCCCGAATACGATGGACCATTTATGATCTTTAATGAGCCAAACGAAAAAGCCTTACTTGAACGATTTTTTTTGCACATAAAGCAAGCTCGACCCACAGTAATTGCGACATATAACGGCGACTTTTTCGATTGGCCTTTTGTGGACGCGCGAGCTAGTGTTAATGGGATTGATATGTATCAAGAGATTGGGTGGCGCAAAGGCACAGACGATCAGTACTGTTGTGACTATAGTGCTCACATGGACTGTTTTCATTGGGTAAATCGAGATAGTTATCTCCCCCAGGGGAGTCGAGGCCTAAAAGCAGTTACAACCGCTAAACTGGGATATGATCCAGACGAACTAGATCCAGAACTTATGTTACGATATGCTAGCGAGCGGCCACAAGTCTTGGCTGAGTATTCTGTTTCAGATGCCGTGGCTACCTACTATCTTTATATGAAATATGTTCACCCATTTATTTTCTCATTGTGTACTATTATTCCCCTCGGGCCGGACGCAGTGTTAAGAAAAGGAACAGGAACACTGTGCGAAATGTTACTAATGGTGCAGGCTTACAAAAAAGGTATTGTTCTACCAAATAAGCATGTATCTGCAAAAGAAACGTTCTGGGAAGGACACCTTTTAGAATCAGAAACCTACGTTGGAGGCCATGTTGAAAGTATCGAAGCAGGTGTGTTTCGCGCGGATATTCCAGTAGACTTTGCCATTGATACAACCGCAATTGATGAGCTTCTCGGTGATCTAGATGCGGCCTTAAGGTTCAGCATAGAAGTCGAGGAAAAAAAGAGCTTAGAAGATGTTATAGATTATGATGAGGTCAAGCAAAAGATAAGTGACAAACTCCACCGCTTGAAAAAAACCGCAAGTCAAAGTGAGCGTCCATTAATATATCATTTGGACGTTGCATCAATGTACCCCAATATTATGACAACAAATCGGTTGCAACCAGATTCTATGATAGATGAATCCGATTGTGCAGCCTGCGACTTTAATCGACCGGGAAAAACTTGTGACAGGAGAATGCCGTGGTCTTGGAGAGGGGAATATTTACCTGCTAAACGTGACGAATACAATATGATTAAGAACTCCCTAGAAAATGAACGCTTTCCTGGAAAATGGCCAAATAGCCCTTCACGAACCTTCCAGGATCTAACTTTTACTGAGCGCACAGATTTAATCCGTGCGAGACTGAAAACTTATAGCCAGAAAATTTATCATAAGATACGCGAGACAAAAACAATAGAGCGGGAAGCAATCATTTGCCAGCGTGAGAACCCGTTCTATATTGATACCGTTAGGGACTTTAGAGATCGAAGATATGACTACAAGGGCAAGCAGAAAGATTGGAAAGGAAAGTCTGAAGCGCTTAAAGCTTCAGATGCGCCTTCATCTGAAATCGAAAATGCGAAGAAGATGGTTGTACTATTTGATTCTTTGCAGCTGGCACATAAAGTCATACTAAATTCTTTTTATGGCTATGTTATGCGGAAAGGATCGCGTTGGTATTCTATGGAGATGGCCGGGGTTACTTGTTTAACTGGTGCTCATATCATCCAAATGGCTAGGCAACTGGTAGAAAGAATTGGAAGGCCATTAGAACTCGACACGGATGGAATATGGTGTATGCTTCCCGCAACGTTTCCAGAGACGTTTAAATTCAAACTTAAGAATAACAGAAGTCTTACCATCTCGTATCCCTGTGTAATGTTAAATCATCTTGTGTATGGAAAATTTACAAATAATCAGTATCAAACTCTGATAAATCCTCAGACATTTGAGTACGAGACTCATAGCGAGAATTCTATATTTTTTGAGGTTGACGGTCCATATCGAGCTATGATATTACCGACCTCCAAGGAAGAGGATAAGAATTTAAAGAAGCGATATGCCGTGTTTAATGAAGATGGAAGTCTAGCAGAATTGAAGGGATTTGAAATCAAGCGAAGAGGTGAACTAAAACTCATCAAAATATTTCAAAAACAAATATTCAAGTTCTTTTTAGAAGGGGAAACACTTACTGAAACATATGAAGCTGTTGCAAAAGTTGCAAATCAATGGCTTGATGTTTTACATTCAAAGGGAGAGACACTTGCTGACGAAGAGCTGATTGATCTCATTTGCGAAAATAGAAGTATGTCCAAGCCTTTGGAAGAGTATGGAACTCAGAAATCGACATCTATTACAACAGCAAAGCGGTTGGCCGACTTTCTAGGCGAGCAGATGGTCAAGGATAAGGGTCTTAATTGCAAGTACATAATTTGTTCGAAGCCTAGAAATGCGCCTGTGACTGAGCGAGCGATTCCTGTAGCAATATTTTCAGCTGAAGCTACAGTGAAAAGAACCTATCTCAGGAAATGGTTTTCAGAAAACCCTTCGAGCCTGGATCCCAAAGCTTTAATCGACTGGGATTATTATATTGAGCGTCTTGGATCTGTGATTCAAAAATTGATTACAATTCCAGCAGCACTACAGAAAGTGCGGAACCCAGTACCTCGAATCTCACATCCAGATTGGTTACAGCGAAGAATTAATGTTAAAGATGACAAGCTTAAACAGAAGAAAGTTACTGATACATTTAAATCTGATTTCGAAAATAAAAATCAAAATGTAAACCAATCAGGAGATATGGAAGATTTTGGTAATAAGATTTTGAAGCCAAAAGCAATGAGTCAAGTTCTATCCCAGGTATCTCATAATCCTCTGAAAAGAAAGCTACCCGAACCAGGTGCTGCTGTATCTATAAATCCATATGCAGCTCTTCCAAAGAATATGCCACACCCATCAAAAGATTACTGTGGATTTCTAGTATATCAAAAACAAAAATGGAAGATTCAGAAGCAGCAAAAAATAAGACGGCGACATCTGTTTGGTGAGACAAGAACCAACGCAAAAATTGGCATTGGAGCTACGCTACGGAATCAAGCTGAGATCACATTCCGAAGCACCTGGCAAATTTTGCATCTTTGCGAGACCACATGTCCTGGTGTGGTATCAGCTTTTGTACTTATTGATATGAAAATTCAAAAACTCAAGATTCATGTCCCTAGGCAACTTTTCTTGAACCTGATCGAAAATGAGCTGCCAGATATTGAAGTCGAAGGATGTGAAGCCCAAAAGGTTGCACACACCTTACCAAATGGCCACTCATCAGTACATTTGTTCAAACTAACCATGCCTGAGGAAGTATATGTTAAAGATGCTCAAAAACTATCGCTGCTCTTTAATCATCCTAGCGTTGAAGGTGTCTACGAGAAGCATCTACCACTGAATGTAAGAGCAGTGTTGAATCTAGGGACATTATGCACTATTGATGAGAAGAAATCTGGTGTCCTTGGAAGGGGGCTAGAGTCAGGTTTTGATCTTTCTGGACTTAAAAGAGCAACTACTCAAGAGTCGTACCTTGAAAACTCACCCATCTGCTACTTGTATCTTTATCATATAGTCGCTGCGAACAGGCAGATATTTGCACTCATCTCTACCGTCAAGGAGCAAGCCCATATCGTAATTCAACAAGGCAACAAAGACTCAGCGCAAGCGATGCCAAATATGGGAAAGATATATGATGATCTTCGAGTTAGGAGAGAACAAGAAGCTAATGATCAGCCGCTGCAAACGTGCTTTGAATACCAAAAAAAAATTGAGTTTAAAACAAAGCAAGTCACTACGAGGCGAAAAGCACTACTTGAACTTGGTAATTTGATTAAGAAGATAAAAAGTGATGAGTCAAAACCTCTCATATTGGTGATACAATCGCCACAATGCCGCTCGCTCCTCCATGATGTACCTGTATTAAACGAATTTCCAGTTCTCTCTCTGAGAAACGAGATCTCTGATGCTAATCTACCGCCACTTGCTTGGCAACTGTTTATCGCCAAGAGACTAATAAACAACTACTTAAATCTTGGCTCCTGGATTCTACACTTTATTGAGCTAGCAAAGTATGGTGATATTCCTCTTTGTAATCTGGAAAGAGACGATCCTAAATACTTAATTGATATTGCCTACGCAAGGCGCCTACAGAGGAACAATGTTGTGCTATGGTGGTCTGCTAGTCCTAGACCTGACCATGCTGGATACGAGAAAGATAATGTTTTCGGAACTTTAGAACCCATCAAAATGCCTTCCACAAACAACCCCGGGACCTATTCTTCTGTTTGCGTAGAATTGGACGTGAGAAATTTGGTCATCAACACTATTCTCACTTCATCACTTATCAAAGAACTCGAAGGAAGTGATTCTTCATGCATGAATCCAGCAAATCCCATAGACAACGTTCCGAGTGATGGAACAGGTGTTCTATATTCTGATGATGCCTTTTCTACGGCCGGTGTCATTGTCTTACGTGAAATGGTAAAAGCGTGGTGGGCCGAAGCCTGCAAAGGAAGCAGTATGGCTGATTTGATGGTTCAACATCTTGTTCGCTGGGTAGAAAATCCTGGATCATTTCTATACGATTACTCACTTTACTATTATGTACAGCTTATGTCTCGCAAAGCTTTCCAACAGCTGATGAACGATTTTAGAAAGGTTGGCTGCCATGTTATATTTGCTAGCCCCAACCGATTACTGCTACAGACAACAAAATCAGAAGTAGGGAATGCTTACTCCTACAGTCAGTATATTTTAAAGTCCATCAAGGCAAGATCTTTATTTCACTTTCTTGACCTTGAGGTTAAAGAATATTGGAACTACCTCGTTTGGTACGACGAGTATAATTATGGCGGTAAAGCTTGTTCCGAAGTTTCTCACGATCCGATTCAGAATTTTGAGTGTATTATGCGGTGGCAGCTATCACGCTTCTTGCCTATTTCATTACAACCAATCTTCCATGATTGGATCATCGAATTTATAGAGATGATGCATAAAATCAAGGTTTCCCAAAGCTTAGTTGATGGAAATTTTCATCTAAAACAAACTGCGTCTCAAGAGGAGGCTGGAGAAAAGCGGATTATTCTCGGGAAAGAATTCGAGAAACCTCTAAAGCGTCAAATTGTTGGCTTAATGCGAAGGCAAAAGGATGAGATGTTTCATCCTGAGTTGGCTTCTGATTACGTCTTCCCTGTACTCCCTGGTTCGCATCTCAAACTTTCCAACCCTGTGTTGCAATTGGTAAAAAGCATAATGCAAGTCCTCTCCTTGGACAAAAACATCAATATGGAAGTTCGTCTCTTACGTAAGGAACTCCTTTCACTGTTTGAGATACGTGAGTTTTCTGCTGAGGCTCGATTTGTGAATCCCTCGGAGACTTTTAAGTTGTCTCAGCTGATTTGTGACAACTGCACCATGTCTCGTGACATTGACTTTTGCCGCGATGAAGATTTAATTCTTGCATCTACAGGCGAGCCACGTGCTTGGAGTTGCTCTTTTTGCAATCAGGAGTACAATCGTTTATCTATAGAGGAGAGTTTGATTTCAATGGTTCAGGGAATGTTTAGCGAGTGGTGCGGTCAAGATCTCAAGTGTATCAAGTGTAGCTCCATTCGTCTCAATGATTTTACAGAACATTGCGCCTGTAGTGGCTCTTGGAGCACCACGCTTAATCGAGACGAAATAATCCGCAAGATTAAGGTTCTAAGCAATGTCGCCAAGGCCTATCACTTGAAAATGCTCGGGCAAGTTGTTGACGAAATTTTGCTTGGTATTTAGGGGTAAATCGATCTTTAACCTTTCAATCATTGTCATAAACTTGTAAATCATGCTTTGGCTCTTATAAGTCAGGAATTGCCGTTGAGTTATGGTGGATGGCTTGCGTTTTTTCAAATGAATAAAAAATCTTATCTTAGAGGAGCTTTAAATTATTCTCAATGGCATTTGCAATAGAGGTAGGATGATGTCGTAAAATAAAGGTTGAAATAAAATTGTCGATAAAATTGCTGAATTTTACTCTCAAGTCATTATGATATATCTGGAGCGAGAGGCTTAGTCTCTGATTCTGACGATTGTAATTATCCTTCATTTCTCTCCACAAGTGATGGGTCTATTCATTTTTTTACCCACAGTGAACTTATAATAGATATTTTGAAAGCACGGATGATATATCAGCCTCAATTGCGGCTAACTGATGCATACAATGTAGTCGTTCAATAATGTCTAATCTGCGAATTTTCCGCTGAATTCAATGAATAGATCACAATGATCTATTTGAACTCACAAATGTGACGGCAGTATTGCGCCTAAGCTGCTCTGTGATCTCTCACCTCCCCAAAAATCTGTGATGCGACCAGAAGTGCCACTACGTGCGTTTATAATGCCGAGGATCGCCGTCTACCGCAGGTAATGTAGTAATAACTTATGGTTATATTTACTAACCAAAGACACTTGGAGATGATTAAAGTAGCGAGATTCCAGGTAGTTATGGATAAGAGAGACGAATGATAGTCGGAAGAGACTGGTCAAGAAGTCGAGTTGCGGAGCAAGCGAGGTAGTCTATTAACTTGGTCTCAAAAGTAGTGCGAAGAATGTAACGAGTAGTCAAAGACTTAGAATATCGGGCTGCGAGGATAAAAGATTATTGTATTACATGATTACTAGAATGCGAGATTGAAAGAGTCAAATATTAAGGAGCTAGAGAGTTACTTTGGGGCTGCTCCAGATTTCTTAATTCCAACTTAAGACCGTACTAGAACTCAGCTGAGGTTGTGGCATGTTGGCGATTCCGACTCTCGAATTTAGGACTCACCCATTATCTGTTCCGTCTGAGGTTCCCGACAAGATCGACTCTCTCTACACATGTCACAAGTGCGCTAATTGCGCCTACTGTCGCATATACGTTTGGATATTAATGACTACGGTGTACCTTGGCTCATCATGGTAAATGGGAGGTGGCTGGTCATCACTAGGTTTGGCAGGCATATGAGAACATTGGGAATTTCTCCCTAAGATGTCTAAGTTCAATGTTCTCATAGTTGTAAAATATCAAGTCTTCTTTACTTCATCACATATATCCATATAATATTGTACAGGGTATATCTTCCAAATAGCAAGAAGTGATCATGACTCTAGTCCTTCTGACACTCTCTGTAGAGTTTGCTCGAGAACCTTCTCCTTAAGCCTTCTTGAAGGATGTCCAGCCATAAAAAGAAGTGAAAATGGTCAACACAGAGCCGAGCACTTCATTTCACAGCCCCATGTAAGATACGCAACTAGCCCACAAACTGATCTCCATCAGCTCCTAAGGAATCTCAGACACAGGATGATAAATCCTTATGTACAACATGCGAGGATATTCCAACTACGCTATTCTGCTGGAAATCTAGACTCAGTATGCACGAAGGTTTAGATTTCTAGCTACGATCATCAAGATCAATTGAATTAATTCGATTGCATATGGTTAAGCTTGACTAGGGAACATGAGGTTCAGTGGTATCTGAAATGCAATGGCTAGGAAATGCCACCTTGCGATAATTGAGTGGCTGATTGTTGCTAGATCACTGGGAGTTCGGGATCACTAAAGCCTTGGGGATCTCTATTTAAAGATAGGCTTGTTTGAAGATGTTAAACCAAGTTAACGGAACACTATATGTTATTAATTCATATTGAGAAGATAGTTCGATATCCTAAATAACTATCAATAGATTCTTGTCCGAAATTGTATACTTTTTCTTCGAGATATTTCCTCCTAGAAATCCTTGACAATTTCTAACATTTTCCATAGTGGATCTCTTCTTCAGTGGACTTGGCAATACAACAGACTCAATTCTAAATACGAAAATTCGGACGACGATAGAATCAATAGAAGCGGCACCATAAGACCAAATGACGCCAATTTTCTGTGATTACCCCGAGTGAGAGATTCTTCAAATCTACGTCCTAATCTGCTATGAATAGCATGAGCATAACAAGTTTGAGGAAGAGTCGTCTATGCTTGGGTGAAGCAGCAGGGTCAGGAAGTCTCTGTCAAGGAGCATCATATAAACTTAGATCTATGTCATAGCTGTGAAACTAGGTTCAGATGACATGAAGGCAATGGAAGACGTTTAGAGTCAAGAAGTCACAGTTAACGACCGAGTAGCACTGGCGCAGTCATGTGGAGCGAAGGCTAGCACGAAAGCCGTGTATATGATAGGGCGATATCTTCATGTTTAAATAAAGCAACCAAGCAATTAAGCAGTCAATCGAATATAATCAGGATTAGTATCGATATCATTCTAGTCTCAACGATCACACGATTATATTGCAATAAAAGCTATCCCATAGATAATTTTATTCATTCATGCTCCACCACGTTATCCGTGATCAGCCCATAAACTGAGAGCTATGAATCAGGGCAATGGCACCCGCCGTTGCATCATCATCGTCGAAGTTCTAGAATCCAGCTGGGAGAAACTTATTTAAATCTAATGAGCATAGCGAATGCAAAGCAAAATTTTGGTAAAACATGAAGTAATACAAATTGAGCGCAGGCACAAAGTAGGCTATCCTTCACGAAGTCGGGGAATAAAGTAAGCTAATAGGTGTCTGGAAGTCTCTCCCTCCTCTTTCTTCCTTTCCTCCAGGCCCCCCCTCAGCCAATTCCCCGCTGGACACGCAAGAAAGAAGCAGCTAGGTTTATAAGAGAGTGGCTACCTACTCTCCCACCCGACTGTCTTCGCGTGTACAGTGATGGCTCTGGGGCGTCCACCGACAAAGTGTCATGGGCCTTTGTCTTATGCTCAGCTATGTAGTATGGTAGATCTAGTAGCTGGTGCATAGGTAGTTATTATGGCAGCATGGCATCATGGCACATGAAGGAGATCCAGTCTCTACATAACGACATTACAAGTAGGAATGTGTGCAGTATGAGAGATGGGTTGTTGATATAGGATAAATGGCATGGCTGCTCAGTTGGTTGCACACTTTGGTGAGCTGCATACTGGTAACGTGATTGGTCTACAGGGAAACAAGCTAGGGGATAAGGGACGAGCTTCCCTCAATCTGTAACATAACAATTATCATAGTCACTTCACTTCTGCACATTAATGAAGACATCTCTCCACATACTGTCTTAGCTGTTCCAGCGCAAGTGCACATTCCCATTTCATATACCAAGTAAAACACTTTGTGACTTTTATCAGTGGCACAGGCAGGGTAATTGAGCAAAGCGGCTCAGGCAAAATAACCAATGCGGAGGTCTACGACGCGGAGGTTCATGGAGCTCTAGCTGCTCTTGAAGCAATCACTAGCAGGAAGCGAGAACGTGGTCGTAACGCCATCTATATTCTGCTCGACAATTCTGCGGCTGTCCAGGCCTTACTAACGGGAACAACAGGCTCATCATCCTGGAGGATTCAAAAGTTCTGCCAAATGGTCGCTAGAGCAGCAGCACCTGTTAAAGTAGGATGGATTCCGGGCCACGAAGGGCTGGTAGGAAATGAAATGGCTGATGAGCTCGCTCGAAGAGAGCTTAACTCGTCGGACGATACGAGGACGACACATGGGGTGATGACCCTCGCCTCTTCCGGAAGGAAAGCTCGCGAACTGGCCAGGCAGATGGTTACAGACTGGTGGCATTCGAATCGCCCCAGACATTATGCCGACCTCGAACTCGAGATGCGACGCAAGAAACCGCCAGAACTAGCACTACCAAGGGCAGTCTACGCTCGCTTAATGGCCGCTCGAACCGGACATGGAGACTTCGCGGCTTATCATCGCCGCTTCAACCACACTGACGCTACACTTCACTGCGAGTGTGGGAGGGAAAAATCAATCGGTCACCTTGTTCAGTGTCAAAAAGCACTGGCAACATGGCGGCTGAAAAGCGGAAAGCGAAGGGCGCCAGCTATGGAAACAATGCTCGGATCAAGCGGGTGGCAACTGTTCAGGGACTACGTCCAGGAGAGCGGAATATACGCGGAGGCTAGTCGGAGGATGGCAGGGATACCTGTGACTCGGAGGTGATGAACGAAAGCCTAGATGATCTGGCATGGAAGTAGGGATAGGAATCGAGGCTCTGGCGCGTGGTGGCCGAGGCGGAACGATGGAAGGGAGATTGTCAAAGTTTTTCTTTTGTAATGCAGGATTTTGCGTGGAAGTTTTCTTTTGTTTTGTTTTCAACTCTGGGTTGCTGTACTCGTCATGGTTCAACACATAGATGCATTTTTGGCATGGTTCCGGTCATTGAGGTGGGACTAGGCACTTGTACTTTACCGGAAGTTAACCTGATCCGGCCCGACCCCATTCGTGCTCAAGCTCCAGTGGGAGTGCGACAGTAGTTACTTCACCTAGCACGTTAATGAACAAACAAACAATTTTTTGAAATTCGAAATTTCGAATCTTCACCCTTTCCTCATCTCCATCCCTCTCGCGCTCGTCGCATTCCTTCAGTAAATTGTCATCGAGTCGCTGGCATCTTAACCATGCCACCTGTTCGTAAAAAGCGTCCCAATGCCAAGTTGGACAAAACGCGGGTCCGCCCGAGGGCTCTCGAAAAATTACCTGACCTTGCCCAGTCTCCGAAATGCGCGGAGATGAGCAAGGTCTCAACTAAAGGGAAGGAAAAAGCCCTCCCTGCCGTCACTGAGCCCGATACTGACATGATCGGGTCAGTTTAAATTGTTGAGGAATTTCCCCAACCATCCTCCGTCCCTCACGGGACAGGAGAATCGTCAAAATCTCCTCTGACAGCGTCAAAACCGTCGGAAAACGCTGCAGTCAAAGCAGCGCCAAAA